CTGCCGTAAAGAAACAAACTATGTTGTAAAGAAACAAACTCTGCCGTAAAGAAACAAACTATGTTGTAAAGAAACAAACTCTGCTGTAAAGAAACAAACTATGTTGTAAAGAAACAAACTCTGCTGTAAAGAAACAAACTATGTTGTAAAGAAACAAACTCTGCCGTAAAGAAACAAACTCTGCTGTAAAGAAACAAACTCTGCTGTAAAGAAACAAACTCTGCTGTAAAGAAACAAACTATGTTGTAAAGAAACAAACTCTGCCGTAAAGAAACAAACTCTGCTGTAAAAAAAAGGTTGTTATTTCCGTGTAGTTAACTGATGGCACGTTGAATCCTGGGATATTGTTGGCCCTGTAGGATACTCAGATGCAGCCTACTTTTTGGGGTTTTGTCGGCTGCATCCATTTTATTGCGCATTATTCAGGCTGAACATTTCTTTACAAATCATTGGCTTTTTCAGCAGAGTATCTTATAATAAAACCAAAGAAAATAAAGTTTCCAGTTTTCATCCAGAATACTCCAAGTAGCATTTCTGTTTAACTGAAGGACTGATACAAACTGGCAAAAATGGAATAAACAAATAAAAATTTATCAATAAATTTAAAGGTAAAGGAACACATGAGGAGTTTGAGCACTCAATAAGATCAGCCAGCCAGGATTTTGGTCTGTATGAAACCTTAATTTAGTTTCTGAAACTAACAGATGTGCTAAATTAGCAACTTCTCAGTTTAGAATTAGTGCTTTAAATCCTGTGATGKCAGAGTTTTATTGGGAACCCAGAATCTGTTTCTTTTCCTCCTCTTTGCCTCACATTTGTGCARGTAGCTGGAACGTGTCCACAGAGCCTGGATGACATCAGATACCGTGACCAATCGGTGGGACCTCTCTGTGTCTGCTTACCCCTCAGGTGTCCACCAACTCGGAGCGAAGGAGGCGGAGTTCGGCCGCTGTAATAAAAGAAAGCTGGCAGGAAAATGTGACAGATGTGGAGGCCTGTGCCAATGAGAAAAGCGAGAGTAAGACTGTCAGACATGTCGACTCCGGCGCAGTGATGGATGGAGAGTGAGGTAAGATGGATGACATCGTCTGTCTGAGGCAGTGTTGTCATAGTGGAGGATTGCCGCTTGTCTTAACCTCTCAATATCAGAGAGCAAACTGAAGTTTGTTTACACTGCTCCAGTGGAGTGATTTAGAGGGGGGGCTGAGAGGTATGCTCACTGGAGGGTCGGCTCCGGTTTCTAAACATTCCCTTTGAAATTGAGGAGCAACTATCCCAGACGCTCAGACCCAACCTGGTCCCCCGTCCTCCGGACAGAGAGGAGTCCGGGCACAAACACCTCACAAATATCAGTCAGTGGCTGCCGTTCAAAACTTTAGGTATTAACTAGAAAAAAAACATTTTGTTGAACGCTGAGTCGCTGAAAGAAGCTGGAACTATTTGTTTTTCTTCATCCATTGTTTACCCACCCTCCCCTGCAGGGTGGTCCGGGCGCTGGTGTCCATCTCCTGCGGTCACCGAGCGAGAGGCAAATCCATCAAAGGCCCAAAAACCTGATGCTATTACATGCTAAAGCTAGCAGAACACATGCTCAAAGTAGCATAGTAGCTAAACAGTAGCTAAAAGCTACATTTAGGGGGAGGGGGCTAATGTTCCTGTGACACGCCTATCCTTCAAATACAAAAAGTCGAATAAAAGGTCTTTATATTTAAAAAAATTAGCATAATACACACARTTTTACCCATTTACTCACATAACTGGCCTTTTTTCTTTTGAATTTGCCTCAGCTAAAATAAAACAGGAAGTGACATCAAACGGGAACTCATGAAAATAAAATAAACTCGCTGGTCTCTGTTTATTATAACAGAATTATTTAAACTTAACTCTTCTTCATCCTTTTTTTGATAGCGACTAAAAATAATCTAAAGAAACATCAGATTCTTCTCTACAGTCTGTTGTTAGCTTTTGTAACAACGCTCTGTTTACGTGCTGACATGCCCCTTTGACATCACTTCCTGTTTCTTCACATGCCAATATCTCAACAACCGTTCATCTCAGCGACGTGAAATTTGTTTTGCAATATTTTATCTTTCCAAAAATGCTTTCTGGTTTATTACAAAAATGTGATGTCACAGGCACTTTAAACTCTGAAGTCAGTGCTGGATATGTGTGTGTGTGTGTGTGTGTGTGTGTGTAGGGTCCAGGGGGTGTAAGGTTGGGATTACACTGTCACACTGTTCGTACTGTTTATGCATACCAGGCCACTGTGAGTGCCTCCTTGTCGCTCTAAGTGTTTACTTGAATGTATTTTGGGAGAATTCCACATGACTGGGACAGGCACGTCTATAAATTATGGAACAGAGCGCTTTGTGTAATGATAACTTGTGTCAGTGCGTCAGGCTGTGGCAGTCTTTTTAGGAGCGTGGAAACCCAGCGGCTGAAGGAGGG